CCCCCCAACATTCTGATAAGAACTGAACTCTTTACTTTTTGTTTGGAAATTTTATAATTCACGAAGTTGGTTAATATGTGTGCTTTCCTCTTGTCATAAACAAAATAGAGTAATAAGTCCTTAAATCAATAAAGGCGTGGTATTGTCGTAGAGATAGGCTTTAATTCAAAATTCTTTAAACCGATGACCTGTAATTTGGCATATTTTGACAACTGTGATAAGGTTATTGAAAATAAATAATTAATTTCATTATAGTTAAGCAAAAAAATTATCCATTTTATATAACAGTTCTCGCTAATTTTTTTGTATATAAATTTTATCATTAACAATGAATGTAGAACTATTCGAGTTTCGTTGGATAATAAAGTAAGTTGATTTACCGTGGTTGCGAATCATTTGATAACGCATTATAGCCATCATTTATTTTTTCGAAGAATAATTCACAAAACACTGAATTAAAAGGTGGTTAAACACCTAGATAAACCCAATGAGCTGTAATCACACTTTATGCCAAGGTGAAATTGATTCTCTTAAATTAATTTAAATAATGCCAATGTATTCATATTAGTCCACTAAAATCGATAAGATGGATTGCATGGGATGAGCTCGATGTACCTTCCTCACAAAATAGTCACTAACTTGCCTCTCTTTACAAGCATTTTTACCAGTCAACAATTGAAGGTAATTATTACCATACTAGCCTAGGAATTATAGTTAGATTAGGAATTTGATAATAAATATAACGATAATTAGATATGCGACTTGTTACCAACTACGAGACATATTATTGTGCAAAGAGGTCACTTTAAAGTTCCTCATGGTACACTTCATTGCCAACTGCTGATTGGTCCACTGAAATCACAACACGATGACTTTGCCTTCATTGGTGAGAACACCTTGTAATTGCACAACAAAGGCGGTACAATTGCTATCACCACAAAGCAAATAAGTCTAAGAACACTATGAAATCCACTCCGATTGAAGATTTGATGGTTGATTTACCCCGACCAGATGTAAGTCAATTTAAAATATTTCAATATTTTATTATTATTATTAATTAGTTACTTATTGAGCTCTTCATGTTGCTTGCAAGAGATCTCGCTATTTGTGTAACTTAGATACATTAATGTCATAATATATATACATATGCAGACTCTAACAGTCAATTATGGTAATTAAATTTGTGATATATATTCCATGAACCCAATTTTAGTGCAAAGAAGTACTAAAGTTTCTGGATGAGGGAATTGGAGATGACGAAACTCACACAAAGCCTGAAAATGCGCCCATGTCTAGGGGCTCCTCAGAGCTGAATACGGTAATATATATATATATATATCATTCTCATCTTTTGCTTAATATTTACGTCTTATTTTAACTTTGATTAAAAAAACACACCGAATTTTTCTTACTGCCAGGCAATAACAACTGCCAGTAGTGGAATCGAAAGCATGGATAGCGGAATTTGGATGGTGAAATTCAAGGACGATGGTGCAGAAGAGAAATCTCTGGAGGGCAAGAAGCGTCAATTCAAAAAAAGCTCCCTGTTAGCTGAGAATTCATCCAGGTTAACTGATTCTCGGGAGAGAAAAAGTGTATGTCTTCCAGCTTATCATATTTTTTTGTTTTAAATCATGGAAGTTTATAATCCTCTTCGAAACGAAAGCTAAATTTATTAGTGCTTGGAAATATAGGTGAAATGTCATGTAATTTTCAGAATAATAATACTTTAATGTTCGCGCCTAGCGATAAACTTTAATGAAGCCAGCTAGGTTGAAATTTCATTTGTAAGTCTAAGTTAATGAATGCACTTAGAAAAAAGTGTTAGTACTGAGCAAAAGTCCAATGTATATATATATATATATCTTAAGAATTTAATTATAATTTTACATACAGTCCCTATAAATTCATAAGTGATATGTAAATACATCATCTTTCTCAATTTTGATCCAATTCTCGACTTTCATGAAGATGAAATTCGTTCTTTGATTTAGTTATGAAAATCTCATACACTCTGTAAAGGACGTTGTTTTCTCAAATCACTCATCTTAAGTGGCAACGATTTCTACTGGGGGGGGGGGGGGGGGGGTCGAATTCGAATCTTGCTCTTCGCAGAGATGTCCTTATCAGTTGTTGCATCGAATGAGATCTTAAATAATATGGGTCTTCAGATACAAGGAACTTACTCAGTCACTGGGTTCTATAAAAATACAGTAAAAATATTTGCCAAATTTGGTCGCTGTTATTATTTTTTCATCATATGTAAGTTATCTTACAATGTCATTTCCACTTTGTTGTTTAACAAAAAAATTCGCTTTGTGGGTTTTTGAGGTAAATTTTATTCAAATGAAAAAAATGGCTTTCTTGTAAGACCACCAAGAAAATTAATGACTTTTCCCAGGATATATGTAAGGTACCCATGTGAAAACGTGTTCAAATGCTCTGATTGTAACATCTACGCAGTTTTGCGCACACATACGCGAAATGGCATGCAGTGTAGCTGGTGTAAAATAACTCAATTCAATCCCCAGGACTGATTGAGTGGATTGATAGATTTAATTAAATGAAAGCAGTGTAGAAGAGAAAATTATCACACGGTAAACCGCCTCCATTTAATGTTCATTATATTGAATATCATTTAAATCTATTCATTGGGTGAGACAATGAGTTGGATCGATTGCATTTATTTGATCAAATTTTCATCGAAATACCTATTTTATATGTTTTTCATTAAAAGTGTTCTTCAATTAAATCGGAAAAGCAAAATATTTCTTAAATTAGTTCATCACGTCATCGTATGCAAACGAATAGAATTTTAAATCATTTGATTTAGATCAAACTTGCCCAACAGTTTTCAAGTTCCCTCAGTTTTAATGATTTTCAAAGTTTTTGTTTACTCCAAGTTGATGATAACATGAATTCTATTGCCGTTCAATTTAATTTCCAAATATTTTATCAACAGCAAATGACCCAGTTAAGATCGGCTGATTAAGTAGAATTATTTAATTTAAGGATCTCACAAACATTATTTCAGGACAAAAAAGTTTCTTTTCTAATTTTAGTGTTTTAAATTGATTTTACCTTGCCTTTGTTATTATCCATTCTTATAGTTACAAAAAATAATGCATTCATGTCTAATTTTTAACGCGTTTCCTAAACAGGGCTAATAATATTGATCAAAAAATTTTATCAATTTTTTGGTTGATATATCAATTTATTAGCAATTGTCAACACAGCAGTTTAGTAATTATCTTGAATAGTAAATACTGTGAAATAAAATTTTCCAAGTTTTGTTTTAAATTATTTTTGAAATGATTTAATTAAAGCTGATATTGATTTCGTTAATGAAGGGATGTAAATTTCTGAAGTCACTCTCCGAAGGTGAAACTACCCCCTTAAATCTTTCTGTCAATAAAACTTTTTGTTATTATTTTTAAATAGCGTTATTTTATCATTAAAGTTTTATTTTGAGATCAACTGAATGAAATTTACTCATCTATGATTTGATTTTAAAGAACTCTTCTAAATTACTGAGTAGTTAAATGAGATGGACAGAGTAATTAGTCACCAAAGTGAAAAATTTAAAACCGAACCAATTGTGCTATTAGTCACTTATAATCACATTTTAAATTAAAGTGAAAAAAAACAATCAAGTCTTCAAAATGGAGCAACTGACTCAACAGTTTGAAGCAACAATGTCTGCGATGCTGCAGAATGTGTGAGGCAATTTGTCTGACTGTACAACAATGCCACTGAAATTGCACAATAAATTTGCTCCTCCTTTCATGAGTCAGGCTTTTGTCAAAATATTATATATTGCCAGCGAATAAAATAAGTGCTGAAAAAAGGTGAGTTGAAAGTGGGAGGCGTTGACAAATGCAGTTGCAAAATCCTCATTTCGTAGCACTTTCTACCCACGCTTGTGTCAAGAAGGAGGCTATTTCTGATACCTTGATTGTATACATTCCTATGGATGTACTTTCAAACGCATGAAACGAAGACTAATCAAATATGATACTAAAAGAGCGAGAAAATAGTAAAAGAGTAAGTTGTGTATATGTAATATTCTTGAAATTTGAAAAACTCTCTATTTTCACGCTTAATGTCTATAAGCGCAAAAGCCTATTTGTATTTAAATCTGACATAATTTTGAGTATTAAATGAGGCATCCTATGAGGTGTGCATATAGATGTAAACCTTACCGCAATCTAACAATAATAATATATGACAAACTCTGCTTAAAATGTCTCTTTTATGATTATTTCTGGTCATTTACAAACGTTTTAAAGTAGTAAAAGTTAAAAATTAAATTTTTCTGGAAATTTGTTTACAGTTGTTGTAAAATATGATTTACATTAGTACAATTTTAAAAGTCTTTAGAGATAAATATTGGCTAATTTCGAAAAATAAATGGAGAAATATATAATTCGGCAACTTTAAATCTCCATTTATTATACAAAAATAAGATTAGTATTATTATTTCTAATAAAAGTAACGTTCGTTCTTTCATCGATTTGTTGAAACTTTCATTCAATGCATTAGAATAAGTTCAAGTAGTTAGGGAAATTTTGTATATTTTCTACATCGTTTTGAAAGATATTTTTCGTCATTTTTGTCTAAACCTACCAAAGATCCCTCGAAAAAGCTCACATAGAAGTTGATGAAATGCTACTAATTTAAACGATGCCTGCGAATCAGTGCTGAAAATCAAGCCTTTTGTGCAAATATTATGAACTTGTTAGTAGCAAATCAAATATTTGTTCGGAAGTATTACAGACAATTTTTTGGATTTGTATAGTTTTAAATGATAGCCAATTTCATATTCATCGTAAAGATATCGTATTTTGGCACTTATTAAAGCGTTGTAAATTTATGTCATCCCTAACCCATTACTACCCAATCACATTTGCAAAAGATGCACAATGATAGGCAGTGAGTCTCCAAAAATGGAACCACGATTTTCTAGGACATTTATGTAATGCTCTTAATATGCTTCTCTTAGTAGTCTATTCGAGGCAATAATTGTCTTAAATATGCTCGTGTTTCCTACGCTAATGTCATAAGTAAATAAAAAGATCTCCTTGTTTAACTTTTAAAACGCATGCACAGGAAACAATTTAAGAGTTCTCAACTTCTTGTAAAGTTAAGTGTTCATTTTAAATAAAAAGTATCGATTTTATTACCACTTAAAAGGTTAATTGAAAAAAGCGTCCATGTTATTCTCTCCACTTTAATTATTTTATACACTTACAATAGTAAATATTTATTGACATTTTCCAAAAAGTGAATTAAAAATTTTAATTCCTCACAGTTGCGAAAGAATGAGGAGGGGAACCGTGAATTTATTAATTTCATTAGATTAGGTATAATGACAAGAATACTGATTGAATTAGGCTTTTTTCAGTATTGGCCCAAGAGCACAATGATATGTGAAGTTTAAATTTCCTCTCCATGGTTTTAAATTTATTTGTGGAGTATTAATACACGTATAAGCCTTGACTTATCCTAGTAATTTCAATGCCAAACTCAACCAAGTATGGGAAGACTCCGGGAAGTTAACTAAGTTACCTCACTGATAAAGCGGAAACAGAATATGTTACGTGGAACCCGTTTATTTGAGCTGTGTGTTCTGTGGTATGTTTCCCCTCTATATGGGAAAAAGGGAACAAAGCTTAGTCATAAAACGTTGGTTTGCTTACGCTGATCCTGGAATGGCTATTGATTATTGGCTGACTGACTGCTCTCTAACCCAATCAGCGTCATGGCCGCAAGTCACAGAATGTTAATCATAATAGTACTAGTAATGAAACAAATTATGAAAGCTTTAGGCCACCAGTGCGCTTGAATTGAATATTCCATGGTTGTAAGTACTTTAGAGGTAAATTAATGTACATCAGGTTGGCTTTCTTTTGTGAATTAATTAAATCAAGATTAAGGCTAAAAATCACACGAATTCATACCATTATTGGGTTTTATTTAGCCAATTAAAATGAAAACCAATATATGTGATTAATTCGTATTCTCGTTCAATGTCCATGAGGTGTGTAAGTAAATTACAATCGTTGTGTTTCCATGGTTGTCACAATTCATGTCAGCTTTTTTCCAGTTAATTGAAATTAATAGTTCAATGATTTTGTACAATTTATAGTCACTAACTTATTTACTTTTTTCCCCAATCTTAATCAAATCGTAATTTTCAAAGATTAAATAGGGAATTGATGAGATTTAATATGGGTAAAATCTAACCGTGAGACTTTCAAGATCATGGAAGTGAATTGAACTTGTTTTTCTCTCACACACCACACATTCTAGAAGACTCACGTGAAATAATGGGATTGAGATATTTCCTAATCCCCATTGTAAGATGTCATATCAATGTACGTGAGCTGCACCATTTTCCCAGAAGGAATTTGATGCAATGGATCAGAGAAATTAGATATTTGAATTCCCCTCTCTCTCTCCCCCTCTCTCTTCGCAATGTTAATTAATCATCATTAATTAATTATGTGAGGTTGTGCAGGAAAGAATCTGTTATACTGTTAAAAATTATTTATTTATATCAAATTGCAGGCGTTTGATAGTTATCATTAGCCCTTTAGTTAACTTCAGGCTTCACAGAGGGGACGAGAAA